GGTCGGTTGAAATCGATGATCTTTCAGCAACGATAGTGCGAGAGACATGCATCAAATGCAAGAGCATTTCAATGTGATGAATCGTATTGTGGCGGCGAGATTGAGTGCTTGTCTTGAGAAGCGAAAGGGATCGATCACTGAAGAAGGTCAGTTTGTGATGATCACTTTTATGACACCTTAATTGCATTCTCATTGCAATAATCGATAGTGTTCTATAATTAATTGATGAACGTATTTGTTGATTGTTTGACTTGATGTAACAATCTTTCAGATGCTGTGAATCACAGGAAGTATTCGTTGGCAATCGGCGATGAGCTGAGGAAGTTGAACGAGCGCAACAACAATGATAACGCTGAGGATGATCTGATGATGCGCAGATTCGATAAGTCGATACCGGCCGTGATCACGGCGAAACCGCCGAATGGACTGGTGAAGACGGCAGTGGATGCGATCGCGGCTGCTCAGCTGCCACTATCGACTCCGCTCTCGGTGATCACGGCTGCTCCGCCAGCTTCATCGGCCCCAGTTGTTGTTATGGCCGCCGGCACTCAAGCGCCAACACTGTTGCAACCGTATATTACATCATCTCTGGTGGCTGCCGGTAATTCGGCAATGCCATTCCAAGCGGCTGCTGCTGTCTTGAACGTTTCGGACGCACCGACGATCGCTAACAACCTGGCACTAGCAGTTCCAACTGTTGTGCCAGCTTCGGAGGCAACTTCGGCAAAGGTTGAAGCGGTAATAAAAGAGCAAAAAGTTGACCTGGACTATAGTGTACGAGTGCCAATGGTGGCTGAACATGCGAAGAAGGTGACGGATGGTGGTTGTCTGAATGAAAAGGAAAGAACTAAAGATGATATGACGAAGATGGACTTGACACAAGCAGCGCTATCACCAAAACAGATTGGTGGTAACGCGAGCAGTGAGGCGTCTGAAACGACACACGTTGGTGAAGAAACGAAAACAGTGAAAACACTCGAAACAGTAGCAAGACAGGCACTTAACAGTATACCTGCTGCTACTGTCACGCCCATGGCAACACTGACGAATACAACGCCAAGTGATGGACGAATTGCTCAATCGGGTTCAGTTGAAGCGGTGGATGAGCTCTGGAAGCGTAGCGCTGCTCTGCCGACAACACCACTGAAGAGCGCCGCCGCTCCAATTATTGTGGCTCCTGCTGCTCCTGTTGTTGCAGGAAACGGACCTATTAGTAATAATAGTTATAGAAATAGTAGTCAGGATAATAATAATAGTGCGAAAATGGTCACGACGACGACAAAGAATCGTGTACATAATACGAATAGTAATAGCGGTAGACGAGGTCAACAACAACAACAACAGCAACAAGCGATCAGTTTGATGAACGCGATGAATTTGAGTCAGAATATGGACTTGAGTCAGCAACAACAAAACATGATAATGCATCAGAACCAAGCGCAGAATCAGATTCTCATGGTGACAGCAGCTGCGCCACCAACCTACCATCATCCCCAACAGCAACAACAACATGGTGGTGGTGGTGGTCATGCTCAGGCCCACGTTTCTCATCAGCATCATCAACAACAGCTTCAGCAAATGATCCAACAACAGCATGCTTCTGCTAATGCTCCACAACCAATGCCCGTGCATGTTTCGCAGGTGAGATTCGCGATCAGTTTTTCGGACAACTTGTCGAGTTGTTTGTTGCTATTACATTATGGGATGAAATGAGATGAATTCTTCGCTGCTTTGTAACCTATTCTTGAAGTGGCT